GGTGAGCAGTCTCCACTCTGTGGGTCTAATTGGCCCTTGTTAGTGACCCGTGGGCGTCCAGCATGGAGAGCCAGGGACCCTGTGGGGTGCGGCAGCACAGCTGGGAGAGGACCAACAGAGTACAAACAGGCGGGGACATCAGGGCCCTGCAGGTCACCTTCCTGTGGGGTTAGGGCCCCGATCATGCCCTGGGACTGGTCGAATCTCCGGGGGTCTTTTCTGGAATGCTGTCGGGACAGTGGCTGTCATCTCGCCTTATCTCTGGGATAGTCAGCTCTTCAGGCAGGCAGCGGGGTTCAGTGTGGCGGGCGGGCCTGTTCTGGGCTGGCCCGTGGGCCCGGTGCAGGGGCTCGGCTCACAGCTCCGTCCCGCATGGGTCTGCCTGAGCCGCCGGCACTGCGCCGCACCGCGCCCCACGTGGAAGCACCACCGGCTCTGAGTCAGTGCGGCTCCAGGCTCTGGCTTCCACTGCGGGAGCCTGGTGTGAAATCACAGACATGCCCTCCACGGCGCTGTTCTGCAGCCTGGGCAGAGTGGGCCCTGCCGGTCTAACTCCCCGAGGTGCAAACCCCATGTGTGTGGCTGGGTCCCCGCTCAGAGGGTTCGTGGCACCAGTTGGCAATTTGCCCAAGCAGCCGATATCCTCGTCCTCACCGTGAGGGGCCTTCGAGGGGCTTTCTCTCCCAACTTAAATATACAGCTCTGGTGTTTGGCCCGGCAGCACCTTAAGATGTCCTAAGGAGGTGGGGAAAGGGCAGCCCACGTGCAGCCCAGCCACACCGGTGAACGAGAACCTCCCCACCAGGGCAGAGGACGGACAGCGCATGCCGACACACTCATGCCACATGCTCCAGCCTGGGGTGCCTCTCACACACGTGTCCGTGAGGCCCGTGGCAGACTTGGTGTCATCCCACCAGGCCACACAGCTCTGCTTCCCTGCCGCCCACATTTGAGAGACAGCACTTCTTGTGTGTGGGGGGGTTGGTCATGGTAAAATACACAAAAGATTCACCACGTTAGGCCAGCAGGTAGCGCACTGGTCAGGGCCCTGATCCCCTCACGGCCAACCGCAGCCCAAGCCCTAGACCCAGAAGCTTGAAAATCATGCCAGGCACGTATGTGCACACATGCCCCAGGGGAGAATGGAGGAGAAAGGATTATGGCCATAATGAGGGGTGACCGCTCACTTTCCCTCTCATTGTCTCTGTCTCTCTGGTGTGCATACATGCCATATGACAAAAACTTAAGGGAAAAAAAGAAAATTTACCATTTCAACCAATTTTTAACAAGAATGATTTTATATTTAACTTTACTTATTTACTTTAATTTGACTGAGAGGGACACAGCAAGAGAGAGAGTGAGAAGGCAAGCTGCCAGGTCCAGGACTCGAACCGTGGTCTACCACGTGGGTGTCCAGCATCCTTAATCACCACGCCACCTGCTGGCCCCCCATCAACCATGTTCACTGTGCAGTCTCAGCAGTAAGTGCACTCCTCTGCTCACTTTCATCTTGCAAAACTGAGACTGTCCCAAGAGGTAACTCCCCGGGGTCAGCTGGCAGTGTGGCGGTTAAGGTGGTGGACTCCCACGTGGCTGGCTGCATTTCCAGTCTGCACCTGGTGGCTGGCTTTGTCACTTTCCCTCTTTCTCTGTCTCTCTGGCGATCGCGAGTGCCCTGTAGCACATTTAAAAATAATAATAAATAATTTTTAAAAAGGCAGCAGCAGCTCACCTTGCTCTCTCCCAGCCCCCGGCACCCACCCCTGCTTTCCGTCTTGGCTTGACCTCTATAGGCCCTGCACACACGTGGACTGGCGGTGTCTGTCCTTGGGCGTGTGGCTCACCTCACTTAGCACGTGCTGTCCCAAGGTCCACCCGTGCCAGGGCTGCTGTAGAATTCTCTTCTTTCCGGGCCAGCCATGGCATGGTGGTTAAGGCAGCTGTATCCACATGGCCCACTGCATGCCCCGGAGGGCCTCCAGCCCACGGACTCTGTCAAGGGCCAGCCTGTGTCTCCCCAATATCTCCCAACCGGCACTGCTGGAGTGCCCGTCTCCGTCCTCGGCCCAGGCTGCAGGCCGGTGAGCAGAGCCAGACTGTGGAGAAGAGGGCTGCGGCCTGCCCGTCCTGCGGAGATCAGCAGGTGTTTCGGAATGGCCCGTCCCTCAGGCCTTGACGCGTGGGCTCCTGGGTCACCCGTGAAGCTGCCTAAGAGAGGCTCCTCTTCCGCTCCCAGGAGCTCTGCAGCAGCACGCCCTCTGTCTCTGTCTCTCCTATCTCTGCCTCACACATGCGCTCCTGAGTGAGGGAAATTAATGTAAGAAGATTTGACTTCAGCGAAGGGACAGTCATGTGGCAGTGCGAGCTGGCACTCTGCTCCAGCCAAGAAGCCAAGACAGCATCAGGGAGGACACAACCCCAGAGCCGTCTCCCGGTCCAGGGAGGGTGCGGCCCCAGAGCTGTCTCACGACCCAGGGAGGATGCAGCCCTGGAACCGTCTCCCGGCCCAGGGAGGGCGCAGACCCGGAGCCGTCTCCCGGCCCAGGGAGGACGCAGACCTGGAGCTGTCTCCCGGCCCAGGGAGGGCGCACACGCACCAGGGTAGGTGCAGACGCACCAGAGCCGTCTCTCGGCCCAGGGATGGCACACCAGTGATTAGCCTGATTAGCCCTGGGGACTAGGGGCTTGCCCTGAGGACAGACTTCTCGAGGGCTAAGGAAGAGAGACATGTGAGATCTTCAATCACGTGGACACCGTGGTTGGCTATCCACAGAACAAGGTTCTCAGCAGCCAGGACGCCAGCGCCTGCTTGCAGAGCTGGTGCTGCAGCCTCGACACATGGGGCCATGGCCAGCATAGCTTGGTGGGCCCAGGGCACTGCCACTTCCGCCACACTGAGGAGGCAGGGTGGCATCAGCAGCAGGAGGCCTGAGGTGTGCAAAGATGGAGCCCAGCTGAGCAGAGGCCAGCCGGCTGCCCCTGCCAACCTCATGGGATGGATTCCCCCACACCCACGCTCACACGCACGCGCCCACAGGAAGGGCAGGGTAAGTCCTTGTGCCACACACCACACACGGCTGTGGCTGGCAAAATCGAACCCATCAGATGAGCAGAGACATGAGGCCTGGACACCGCTCCTCACAGGGTTAGCCGCGTCAGTGTGTTCTTAGATAAACGGCAGAGACGAGGGGGCAGAATTGTCTCTTCTACACTGGCCAGAGACAGATGGGAAATAACATAGAATACCCGTGATGTGAAATGAAAGCAAACCAGGTCAACAGGTGGCACGGAGGTTAAGGCGCCGGATCGCACACGGCCAACTCTGTGGTTCAGTCCCAGACACGGCGGCTGGAGAGACGCCAGACGCGTATGCACGTGTGCCCAAATTCCTGGGAGAATGGGGAGGGACTGCTGCGTGGCCATTTCTCCTGGAGGGTTATTTCTCTCTCTCTGTCTCTCTGACAAGCACATGCAAACATCTTTATTTAAAAAAGCAAGCCAAGTGACAGACATACCCGATGCATGGGCACGTCCCTGAACAGAGGCACGATGCGGTCAGTGAGTGTGCGCGTCTGCGGTGCGGCGGCCTGTGGCGCTGTCCGGTCCCTGGGTCCACACCAGTAGACGCAGCGCGGCCCGGGAGCTGACACTCTGCAGGGAGCGGCCGGGAAGTGCCATCCTCAGATCTCCCAGCCCCAGGCTTCGGTGGAAATGTAAATAAATTGGAAAACTGGTAACATCTCCATTTCTGGGTGTGACTTTCAGGGAGAAGAAAACGGCTTTCTGGACAGTGCGGGAGCTCCCCTTCCAGGTAAATGCTGGCTCTCGGGTCTCTGGGGCTTCCGTGAGGGCACGGGCCAGCGAGGCTGAACCTGAACGAAAGGTGGCCTGACAATCAGCTTATCACTGGCCTTGGGAATCCACTGCAGGACACCAGCAGATGGTGTAACGGCTGTGTCACTGACTCCCATGTAGTCAACCATGGTTCGAGTCCCAGACCTGGCGGCTTAAAACTGTCCCCAGCTGTCCCAGGGCGACTTTGGGGACACTCAGCAAAACGTCATCGCTTACCTATTTGAAAAATAACTTCCTCATAGACGCGAACGTGACAGAATTTTGATGTTTTCCCAGATTAGACTCACACAGTGGCGTGTGGGCCTGCCCACGCGTGGTATTGGAACCACGATAAAGCACGCGGCTCCCGCTGACTTGTCCTTTGGCGGTAGAGCTAGCGCTGCCCCCGCCGTCTCCGCTCTGGCGTGTCGAGGCTCAGAGGAGCCCAGCGTGGTCTCTGCCTGTTAGGCAGATGCTCCTCAGCCAGCTGGTGTCTCCCTGAAGGGGGCAGCGGGGAGAAGTGACCCGTGCTGTTCCCCCTCGGGCGAGGGCTCAGACGCCTCGGAGGCCCCGGGCCTGTTTCTCAGTAGATGAACAGTCCTGTGTCCCGGCCCAGCTCGCTCCCCGTGGTGAGCGTGCGGTGGGCACCCCCAGCCAGCTGAGAGCCAGGCTCAGGTGTGTTTGTGCCTCCAGCCACGGCCCCTGCTGGCCCGGACAGGTGCATGTCCTGCAGTGGCCATCCCCCACAGGCTGATGCTGGGAGGCGCAGGCAGGTCCGGGGCGGTCACAGGTGGAGGTGGGCTGTGCGAGTGTCTTGCCGATGTGGGCGTGTTCCTCCTGCAGATACCCGCACGGACGGGTCCAGCCTACACAACGACACCGGCCCACGCTGGCCCATGCGGGCGCC